GAAGTCCCCGGCCCGAGTCCCCGGGAGTTGGGGAGCGGTGGAGGATGAGGAGGAGGGTGTTTGGCGTTTCTGGCCGGTTTACTCGGGACGGCTTCAGTTAAGAAGCTGCTGGGAGTCCCAGCAGCTTCTACTGAAGCCTTCCGAGTAAACGGCCAGAACGCCAACACCTCCTCCTCATCTCCACCGCTCCCATGTTTTATTTTGTGTTGCCTTAAGTTAGTCTCTCTGCGTTTCTGCGCTGGGCTAATGCTAATGCTAATAATGCAATGCGAGGATAATAAAATGGCAGCTTCACAAACGTTTTTGGGAGTTTGACGGGGCGTGGTTTGCATTCCGCCCAGCCAATCAGACACAGGAACCTTTTTCTCTCACGAAAGTCCCTGCTCTCTAGCAGGCACTGAAAAGGGGGTAAAAAAGGTTCTCTAGAACTAATTTAGTTGCTGGGACTTTTTGGTGTGAACGCAACTAAATCGTAGTTCTCATGAACCATTGTGGGAAAAGTACTTGGTGTGAACGCGCCTATTGGCTTATTATATTTACAGCCCTTAATAACACCCATTTTCTGGGCTCAAAACGTTTTCGTTGTGATCGCTAAATTCCACCGTTCCAAGCAAACGAGTGCTTTTGTTTTGAAATCACTTCCGTGAGTTTCGCCCCGCCCCTCGCTCCAAGGACCATTAGACCATTTAGTAAGGTAAAAAGCTCTTCCGTTTACTTGTGTAATTAAGGTAACTTCCGGTAGCAGAATATGAAAAACCTGTAGTTTTTTGTTTCTGTTTTCTAGTGAATTTATTTTTTGTTTTGAGAAGTAGAAAATGAAAAGCCTGTTCAATCCAATCATCCAGTTTTTTAAGTTTAGTAAATCCCCTTTTGACCATGATAAAGAAAAACGTCTTGTATTTCAATTTTGGTTTTTCAATTTTAAAACGAAAATGTAATATCCAGTCGTTTTTGGTTTTTGAATAACCATTTGTGAAAAGAAAATCCAATGACCAAAACATACACTGACCCTCACGGCTTACCATTGCATGAACATTCCTCGAATTTGTGACGAGTTAACGGGCCCTACTCTGACATTACTAACCACAAATATATTTGTTTCACCTTCTAAATGTCTACAATGAATAACGAGTTTTCTTATCTAGAACAAATGCCAACTTGCATAGGAGAAGCTATGTTTGTGCCTGCTCACACACGGTCATGTCTAAACAGTCATGAAAACAGCTTCGGGAGACTTCTACATGTGTGATGCATCTCTGTTTTTGTATTTGTAGGAAAGAAAAAGAGGCCACTTCTGCAAAGCTTGCAAAAGAAGAAGCGGACCGCCGGAGAAAGGAGGAGATGAGGCTGAAACTAAAAGAAACTAAGGAACACTACCGGCTGGAGATCGTCCGGAAACAACAACAACAACAGGCTCAGGCCTCCAGAGGATCCATTCACAACCGGACCTGGTACCGGGGGAACCAATTTGAAGGGGAGGCCCCGCCCTGGCAGCACAACCAGCAGCCGGGGAGGAGCGCCACCTGGCACGCTCAGGACCCGCCCAACCTGCAGAAGTGGGCGTCAGCGGAGTTCACCGGAGGAAGTTTACACAACCAGGGCAGCCGGCAGTGGGACCAGAATGGATTCTCTCAGCAGAGCCGCCATCCGTGGCTGAGCAGCGGAGGCAGCAGCAACGGCATCTACGGGAGGAATAACATCGCCCAGTGCCCACCGCAAAGAAGCCGACCGCTGAGCTTCCTCGGGTCTGCTCCCATGTATCCACCTCCACCCATTTTGTTTTCCCGCCCTCTTAACCAGTTTCAGAGTAAAGCGAGTGATCAGCAGGCGGAGGTAGTTCAGAACGGAGAGGTGAAAACACCAGAACCGGACCACAGCAGCGGGAAAAGCTCTAAAACCTGTGGGAGCAATCCGAAGCTGGACAAAGCGTGTCGCTGGACTCCCTATCCCTGCACTAAGGGGTTTGAATCTGCACCCCATAAGGAGACGAACCCAACAGAGAAGCCCCCAACAGAGAAGCCCCCAACAGAGAAGCCCCCAACAGAGAAGCCCCCAACAGAGAAGCCCCCAACAAAGAAGCCCCCAACAGAGAAGCACCCCAAACCCCAGAAACAAGAGAAGCCACAAGAGGCTTTAAGCAGGCAGTCTCAGCCTAAAGAGAAACAGAGCGTGGAAGATAAAGGGAAGCATAAAACAATCCCCAAAACCAAACCCAGAGACCGGAGCAGCAGCGGGAGCAGAAGCAGCGGCAGCAGCACGCAGAGGGACGCCAAGCAGGACGCCACTCCTGGAGCTTCAAATCAGAAAGCGAGTAAGCCCTCGCTGCAAAAAGACCGGACGACGACTTCGGTTCCTGGTCCAGCGCAACTCGCCTCAAAACAGCTGAAGGCACAATCCAAATCAGCCGGATTGAGCTCCCAGGCTCCGGCTGTCGGGCCGCTTCAGTCGAGGCAGGAGAGGCAGATTCCAGAAGCTTTAAAGAAAGCCCGACAGAGCGTGTTGGAGAAGAAGAGCTCCTTGGAGGGGAACAACCGGACGGAGATGAAGCTGCACATCGTGGAGGGTCAGAGTCAGATCGGAGTGAATAAAGAGAACAGGCAGAATGCAGCTAAACCCAAGCTGCCGGATTTAGTGAGAGCAGAAAAGCCTGCGTCACAATCTCCAGACGGCGGCCAGTTCCTCCAGTCGTTACAAGTGAGCACCTCAACTCTGGAGAGCTCCGATCCTGCAGCGTTAAACCAGGAGAGCACGGAGAAGGAAGCATCCGCGGCGGCCTCAGATGAAGCCACGCAGGCAGCAGAGTTCGGCCAGAGTTCAGAGAGCGACGCCTCCAGAAGCGGTGACGCTCAAACGGCGTCCGGTCTCTCCAAACTGGACCTGCCTCCCGTCCTGAAGCGAGACCTGACCAAACACATCAGCACCAAAAGCAAACCGGGCGCCCGCGAGCCCAACCTGAACATCGCCCGGCGGGTCAGGAACCTGAGCGAGTCCCGGAGAAGCGACTCGGAGAAAGACTCGGGACTCAAACCCACGGTGAGGCAACTCATCAGCTCCTCCGGGTCCCGACGCAACGTCAACTGGGAGCAGGTGTACCAGGAGGTCCGGAAGAAGCAGGACAAAGGGAAAGGCATGCCGAGGTGGGTGGTTGATACTTTATCTACAAGGTGAAAGTTTATACAGTTTGGAAAAAGTTTGGGAAGTCTAGGAGTATGCTTAAATTCAAATACAGTCCTTAAAGAAAATGCTACAATCCTCCCGTAATATTAGTTTGTTGTCTCTTGGCACAGACACTAGCTTGAGGATTACATTATTTAGATTTTTAATGGCACATAAAAAAGAATAGTAATATATACTTTTAAACAGAATATGTAAAAGCCTTAAGTCAAAGTCAACTTAATTGTCAATCTTTCAGTTTGTGTGTACAGACAGAGAGATCGAAATGCCGTTTCCCACAATCCCGATTATACAAAAATATGTATAAAATATGTATATCCTATATATCCACAAGCAACAGACACATTGATACATATGCACATATTAAGACATAAATAAAAGCACAACAATCAATATATATATACAAAAACATACATTTAAACCAGAATATGCAAGGGAGGCCATCACTAGGGCTGCACGATTTGGGGAAATAATGTAATTGCAATTTTTCGGACTGATATTGAGATTCGAATTGCGATATTTGTTTTTAAGCGACCCAACGGACGTTTATTGTCAAATTCGGCCATACCTCCGGCTAGGAAGGTCGTATCAACGTGCTCCCGTCTCTAGCACCCCAGCAGCCCGAGCTACGAGTGAAAGAACTAAACTTACACGAAACTTCCGTTGGGTTGCTTTAAAAGTCAAGCTTTCAGTTTAAGATTCACCTGTAAAGAAAACATGTTGATCGGAGCATTACTAACCTGACTCAAGATGGTCCCAAACCATCTAGGAAAGCCTCCATTGGAAGCCATTTGGAAAAGCAGGCACTTTCAAAAAAAGACTTGGCAGGTTGATTGATCAATCTGTCTATCACCTCTAACTCATGGGACACTTCTGATTGGTTAGCAATGGCTGGTGCATGTGGAGCACAGCACTTCTGATTGGTGTGGATGACTGACACACAAGAAGAACAAAAATTAATTTGCGATTTGATAATTGCATCATTTCAAATCGATTAATCGTTCAGCCCTAGCCATCACCCTAAAAGCCTTATTGTGGGTCGCTCAGTTCAGATAAGACCCTGATATTTCAGTCTTTAGAATATGTATGGATCCTGTAGTTAGAGTTTTCTTTGATTCCCCGAAGCTCACATTTTGTCCCGTGTGTGTTTTAGGTTTGGGATCGAGATGGTGCCGATGGAGCAGGAGGACCAGAGCCAGGAGGAAGGAGACATTCCCCTGATCGAGGGCTTCCAGTGGGAGTCTTTAATGGACGCCCCCGCCTCCAGAAAGCGCTCCTTATCAGAGAGCAGCATCGCCCCCGCATCCGCCCACTCCCTGTTCACACCCTTCATCAAAAAGGAGGAGCCGGAACAAAGACAAGCAGAGTTCACTTCTCCAAGTCCTGCGTCCGCTAAAGGGAACAAGGAGGAGGAGAAGCAGCAGGTGGAGGTGGAGCAGATGCTGGGTCAGAGTGAGGAGAAAGCTCCGGAGAAGTTGACCTTGGCCACAGTGAGGGCGCTGCAGAGGTCAGACTCTGTGCTCGGTGACAGCAGCTCGATGGAGGAGCTCTACGACGGACAGGGAACCGGGAAGAGACGAAGAGCAGCCGGGGTGAGAACAGAGAGCAGGGTGAACGAGGAACGGAGGTTTTATACAACATTTAGGACGGATAGGAAGAAAATGGTATGGCAGCTAAATATACAGGTCTATCCAGGGCCGTTTCTTCCTATAGGCCAGGGGTGTCAAACTCAAGGCCCGGGGGCCAAATCCGGCCCGTGACTTCATTTAATGTGGCCCCACAAGAGCAAATAATATAATATGTTACTTTTTTTCCAGAATTTGGCTTTTCTTTTTTAATCATTTTGTGACATTCTCACTGAAGAGAATTTTTAAGTTATTACCCTATCCGATAATAATCCAATGCAGAGGCAATAATGTAATACAATACATTACTTTATTTATATAACATTTTTATATATGTATTTTTATAGTCTTGTTTATAAAACTGGCCCTTTGAGTGGAACCATGATGCTAATGTGGCCGGAGATGAAATTGAGTTTGACACCCCTGCTATAGGCGGACTATGCAGATGCATAGGGCCCCCGCGGCCACTAGGGGGCCCCCAAGCTGAAAGTTCAGGTTCAGCCTCAATATATTTGGGGAGAATTAAAATCAGCCGTCTTTATTTGTAGACAGCCGAGCCCCCTCCTGTGTTCGGTGAAGCATTATACGCTTAAAAATTAAATGTAGGATATAAACACAACTAAACTGCAATGATAGCAAAGCTGTGGCTTGTGTTTTTGGGGTAATAAAGCCCAAATCATAGTTAGGCTGTCACATTGTTGAGAAAATGCGGCATTTATTGACGTAGAGGAACCCTATTGTTTACCTTTTTAATATAATTTTTTGTAAGTTTCAATTGCTTTGTTTTCGTGAAATTAGCCTGTTTTCCTCTTAAAGGGTAACAGATTGATGCGTCCACAGATCATCGTAAAGGCTTCGGAATCCCCCCATTGTAGTTACAGGGTTCTTACGGTCATTAAAAACCTGGAAAAGTCATGGAAATTCAAAATGCTAATTCCAGACCCTGGAAAAGTTATGGAAAACAATATTTTTCCCAAAGTGTTGGAAAAGAAA